ATTAAGTTGATGCTTGTAATTGGAGTCTAGGCAGGCTGTGTTTTGCAAAATATAAATATCTTTTTAAAATTTCTGTAGAGAGAGTTACAAGATTTATGTAATCCTTTTGATATTATATTTAACCCAATAACAGCTTGAAAAGGAGTCTGATTAGCTTACCTTCGTCCTAGATTCAGTTTTAATATCTAATGTTTAAATGGAGGAGGGATTGATCTTATTCTTAATGATTCGTGTAGCCTCAAAGCACAGTGGTTTCTAGTTGTGTGCTGCCTTTCCCACTGGGGGATGCAAACAAAAGAACAATAATTTCAGACTCCTCCTTCAGTTTCCAAGAGAACCTTAGCTGCTCAGGGATAGCTTTGAATTTTAAAAGCATCTTTCTTCCAAATTATGTATTGATTGCACACAAAATGGCAGTGCTCTAATATGCAATTTAAAACAAATGCATGATGGTGCTCATTTGTTTTTAATGCTGCTTTTTCCAGCAGAAAAACAAAAAGAGGGTTCTATTCCCATAAACCGGTCTTGCAAAATCCTTACAAACATTTATTAGTCTAGACACAAAATAATCTCACGCAGCCTCAGCTTGACGATGACAAAAAAAAAGCAAGCTAATATTGTACTTGGCTGTCAAAAAAGGAAAAGAAGGAAAAAAGGAAAAAGCTTGCCCCAGGCTAGTGAACCAGTAACATTTTTCTGGGGCTGCTTACAACAACAGATGCATCTTATTCCCATGGGCTTTCCAGGCCTGCCTATTTTCTGTGCTAAACTTGGACACCCTTACAAACATTCTCTTTGAGTACCACACCCCAGTTGTATCCTGGGCTCTTCTGATTTGGTTGATTTAATAATGATACCAGACATGTTCGTCTTACCTCTCCTGACCTGTCTTTGTATTTCCCTGTCTCCCCCAGATATCATTTAACTAAGGCATTAATTCAAAACCAGTCCTAATATATGGAACCTGGAATAATGGGAATAGGTGATTTGATCATAGCTTGAATCTGAACATAGGGAACCTTGATATAAACAATTTCTCCTAATTTTGAGTTGAATTTATGCTTTCAATAACTTTTGTAAATGGCAAATGATTCTCATTGTTTGATATTATGGTAGTTTGCAGAGGTTTTTTTGTAAAGGGATAAATAATATCAGGGATTGTTACTTTATCTCAACATGCATTCAGATTATTAATTTTTACTTTTGTCCTTTTCCTAGAAAACAGTCAATTATGCATATCTTGTTTTTTAATTCATTAATTAAGTAATTCAGTTCTTAGTTCCTGTTTTTCTAAATTTATGTCTAAAATGAGTTTGATTTGGAAATGAAAATTTAACTTAAAATGCACCTAAATGGCATAACATCTGTATTACTAAAATATGTAGGACAGCTAACAGTACATGTGTTTAAACATTACTTTTTTCTTCAAAACCTACTGATTTGTGACACAAATTATGATAATTTTTTAATACTCCCTTATAGTAAGTTTATTTTTTCTATGATGATGTATCCAAGTCTGTTAAGATTTTAGCCCTGGCAGAGTTTATCTTTAAGCCTGAATTGGAGATCTTCTACAGAAAAAAAAAGAGCTGTCCTGCTTTTTAAAGTCTGAGGCAGGAACTTCTGTCATTCAGGAATTAATTTCTACCTTCACTCAGTGCAGATGTCTACAAACTGAATTCCTGTGTATAAGGTTAGTTGTTAACTGCCAGTACTTCAGTGTTTTCACTGAGAATTTCCACCTTAGTTAAGTAAAAAAGTAATGACATGGATTAAAACTATTCATTATAATACTGACTTTTTTAAGTCTTTTTATTCCATTGGTAAAAATTTAGATGTTTACAATTAGAACAGAACTTCCAGCAGTAATTGGTGCTTTTTAGCAGTATGTCTGGTTTAATGTCAGTAAATAAGATAGGTGTTTTTCCTATGAGGGAATGTGTTCAGTGTGTTGTTGAAACAATAATGTAAATGAACAAAATCTTTCTATTTAAAACTTACAGTCTGAATAATAGGTGTTTTAAACATAATACTGATTCTTCTCTTCCTTCCACCCAGCTATCATGCTGTTTTGTGCTGTGTAATGTAGTTTAGGCTTTTCTGTTACCTCTTACATGTGTTTTTACCAACACATACAGTATTCCTTTAAAAATTTTACTGCTTATTCTCATTTAAATCAGTTAGAGTATGATTTTGACCCTAGGATATTTATGCAGTTTTAAGCTACCTATATTTTTAAAAACAGAACTAATCTGTTTTTCTTACGCTGTTTAAATCTAATGCAAAAAAGAAAAAAGCAGTTCCATGGCTACTAAAGTACAGTGTTTTAGTTAATTCCATATTTTCACTTAAATCATGTTGTGCTAATTTTCCACCATTGTACTTGAGAGACACAAAGAGAAAGAGGGCAGTCTGTTTTCAGTGATCCGCTCTTACTTCCCTGCCAGGACTGGACATCGGAGGTTTGTGTTTCTCCTCCAGGAGACTCACATGACAGGCGGCTCCAGCAGAGCAGGGCAAAAGGTGCAGCCTCCAGCTTTCCTCAGCCCGGCTCCCAAACTGGGGATTGTCCTCTCCAGGGCTCTGAGCAGTGACGAGGGGGGTGACGTGTCTGGCACAGTGTAAGTCACAGAGTTCAGGTTCACAGTCAAAGTTTAAGGAATTAGCCTGGGAAACAGTGGAACAGGGAACCAGCCTGTTGAAAGACTTGTTGATTCCTTGCTGCTGCATTGGAGGCCTTTGTTCAGGTGAGCTGGGAGCAGCGTGGGACTGCCGGGCGCCAGGTCCAGCAGTGCCTGTGAAATGCTGTAACTGCAAACCTCCTGTTCCTGTGCCACGGCTGAGATTGCTTGTTCTGATCTGCTGACTCTTCATTACCCCATGGTAACTTAAGTACACAGTCACCTCTCAGACTTCTTCAGTGGCTGTACTTCAGATTCATCTTTCCAATCCACACGTTGTACTTGAAAGCCTCTGTAGTCCCATCTTTTACTTTTTTTGTCACTGGGCTGATAGGCAGTAAACAATGTTTATCCACTCTGTGGATGAATGATGGGGGCATGGGGTGGGGAGTAAGGGAATTGGTATTGTCACACATAGAATAAGACATTATCTCCCACAGAAATCAGCAGGAGTATCTAAGGAGTACAGTACAGTACTCAGCAGGGGTGTGGAGTCACGTCACTGTTGCAAATAAAAATGCTTTGCTTTTCACAAAGGTTAACTTGGTACACAGTGGTATTTTACTAGATATTTGAGACCTGCAGAGCGTGTTTATACAGGCAGCTTGGACTATCCTCTTTTTTCTTTGTTATATGATTGAACACCTCAAAATCCTGAGGAGAAACATTAGAGTGGAAAGAACTTTTGAAGATCGTCTAGTTCAGCATCCTGCTCAAAGCAAAGTTATCTGTGATGGTAGGTAGAGTTGTTCAGGGTTTTGCCAAGTTTTGACGACTTGCAAGGATGGAAATTCCTTAAAAATCCCAAGCAGATTTTTACAAACTCTCCAGACACCTGGTTTCCTCACCAGTGCTGAAGTGCTGTTACTCCACCATCATTACACCCCTAAAGTCATCTTGTAGCAGTCACAGAATGTGTTGGTGTTGCAAGGAAAGACAAGCCTGAGTGAGCTTGATAATCTCACCCTGCTCCTGGCAGTAGTTTAGTGCTGCACTGAGAATACTTGCACTAACACCAAGTACTCTGAATACAGAGACAGGAATTTATATGTTGTATTTTGACTTGTGAATATGCTGTTCCATGACCAGCATTGTTTGGATCAGGTCAGAGATCCTGGAGAATTTCTATAAGATCAGCTTGCAAGCATGAACATAAAATTCTTCTGCATTTTTCCACTATGGAGGAGTCTGCCAGTTGGGAGTGGGTCAATTCTTTGTTGTGTCTGTTCCTATATGATTCAGTTTACAATTGTAAAGCTGCTGTATGATACTGGAAACATTCTGGAGCACCTTAAAAAGAACCTTGTAAAATACCAGATCTGAAATCAAATTTCTTGCATCCAAAGTGGAGATGCAAATCACGTGCTATTGAACGTAAAGGACTTTTTATGCACTCTGCACTCCTTGGCCTTCTCACAAAGTAGAAGCAGACTTGCAAGGCTGGGGGCGGCTTTAAGGAGGACATGGGGTAGGAAGTAAGCAGGTGGATCCAAGGCACACAGGAAAGGTTCTGAGCAAGTACATTTTAGCAAAAGCTTATAGTGGATCAAGTGCTAGAGGAGATTCTAAAGAGCTGTTGAAACCTTGAGAATGTGCCTTGCAGTCTTCACCTTGACATGGGATTACGTAGGTCCCTGCAGTAGAATTGATCCTTTTTGCTTTTCAATTAATGTTCCAAGTCCTTGCTTTTTCCTCATTCATAAAACACTGGTTCATACAGACACTGAGTTTATACATTTGTTCCAAGTATTTTGGGATCCATTACAAGTTATTTAAATTATGGGTCCATGTTCTGGTATATGCATGTGTGGAGCATGTAGCAGTGTGTATTAGTGTCACCTGGTCAGTTCGCTCCAAGTCCCTCTTTTCAGTTTCTTACGATAGTTGAAATGAGAAATTTTCACATTGAGGCTGCTTTTATTCCCTGTTCATTGAGTTTTGGGAGAACATTAGCTGGTTCAAGAGTAAAATTAACAGAGTTAGGAGGGAAGCAAGGAGAGAAAGAAAGGCAATCTTCATGTAATAGCCATATTATCTTTCTTTTTCTGAGCAGCTCTTTGCCTCAGGGATTTGACATAGGAACTCGAAATTTGGCAAGGATCTGAAGGATCTGGCCTTGAGGTCTGAGAAATGCATTCCACTGTCAAAAAAAAAAGGCAGAATTATGAGTCATAATGTATCATTACCTTTTTGTATCCAAGGTAGAATTTAGAGGATGTTTTATCACCTGCTCTTGATCATGCTTTTATTCCTCTTGTGCACATCTGCAGACTGCTTTAAACCATCTTTATTTAATGGATTCTCCTTCTCTCTGTCTAGATTCTTGTATTGTCATGCACCAGGGTCCTTAACCTGCTGCTGCTCTTTGGGCTTCTGCAAATGCCACAGACCTAGCAGAAGGTACAAAAGCATTGGGAGCTGTAAGCCCTGAGACCCAGTCCTACTTTTTAAGGGTAGAGTGCTACTAATACTCTTATTTGCTGTTGAGAAGTACCATTTTGAGTGGTGACAGCCAAATATTAATGAAAGCAGAAAGCAGCCAATGTGAAATCTGGTTTCCAGTGTGATGAGGGCTTGTACAGTTTGTTGGAATCAGTGGAGGAGGGGGAGAGGAGAGCGAGACAATCTGTGCTGGGCTGTGTCACCTCGAAATCGCGGGGGTTCCTGCTCAGCACCAGTGATGACTCGGGAATGAGCTGGGCTGTCTAGAGACCATCTGTAGGACTGTAGCTTGGGTCTCTGGGGGAGCTGAGGGGTGTCAGGGTACATGAACTCCAGGAAGTCAAAGGAAGGTCTTGTACGAGTGCAGCACTGGACTAGGGCCTGGGAAAAGGAATGGCTCTAGAAATTTTTCATCTGGAAAGAAAGAAAAAAGCAGAATGAAGTTGAATGGAGCATTTTGTGAAGTCATATGTGTGCCAGATTGTTTCATTTTAAAGAAGGAAATCCCATGATAATAAAACCTTTTGTTTTGGTGTTTTACAGAGAAACTTTTTTGATAAACAGTTTATAAAATTAATAATTTCTCACTGTTCTACTTTTTTTGAAGCCAGCATGAAACATTTAGAGGGTTGAATTAAATGTTTATTCAATGCAGAACACATTAAAATTTGTCTTCATGTCAGTAATTTATTTCTTCATACTTTCTGTTTTGTATGTAACAGCTCAGCAATTAAAATGAAATAGAGCTGTAGCTATGCAAAGAAAAAAAAAATCCCTGACTCTGCTGCCATTTTATTGGGTATGATAAGCATTTACACAAGTCTGATACCCACTTTCAAAAATAGTCATGCAGAGATGTCTGACATTAGAAGTGGTGTGTGCTCACAGTTTGAATAGGAGACTTCAGAGTCAATAAAATAAAGGTCTGCCTATATGAGTGTAGCTGCCAAGGTGTCTGTATCTCATAGAAAATACCTGCCTGTGTGACTGAGGAGCAGAGACATGCACCATTCATGCTAAAGGGCCTCTTGGTCAGTGTACCCCTGGTTTTTAAGTACGCAAGATGTTTGGTCATTAGCTTTATGTGGTCAGATACAGAACCTGGTTTTGGCTTTCTATATCAAAAGCAGGGGCAGAAGTCACTGTGCTCGCAGAGGTACCTGGCATAGGTGGTGCAATACAGAAAGATAATGTCGGTCATTTAGCGGTCACTTCTGGTGTGAAATTCTGACCTTTATTTTGGTGGAACTGCTTGTTAAAACCAGCACTGAGAGGAAGTAACTGGGAAAGTCCAGTCACATGTCCCGTGGCAGGCTCCCTTCAGCCTCTGCTGGGCTTTGTGTCAGCTTTCCAGTGCTCCATCACGGGTCTGGCTTTGGCACAGCCTGGAGTTCTGCGTGGGCACTACAGTGGCTTTTGGTGCTTGTCTCCCTCATTTCCAGTCTAATACAGCAAGAACACCAAGTGGGCCTTATCTTTGTAATACATAAGGACTTCTGCTGAAATAATTTTGATAAGTTTCGCTCCTATGTTGGATTAGTACCAGACATTATTTTAAAAGACTAATAGAATGTAAATATTGCAAGATTAATAGAGATGCGGTTTTATTTTGGAGTCATAAGCAGTAAGGCTCTCTGAACTTTGCAGATAAGGAGCAAGTGAAGAAAATAGTGCTGCAACATAGTCACCCTTCTCACTGAGAGGCAGCACACATCAGAGTGTATTAGCCTACACTGAGCTCTGCAGAATAGTTTCTGACATAGATACATCTACTCTGAATAAAGGGCAGTAGAAGGAGGCTAAACAAAGGATCAACGACTGGATATTGTCATGGGTTATAAGAAGGCAGCATTTTCTGTGTGAAGTGGTAGGCAATTTGTAATCTAGGTGGATTTAAAAATTAGAAGCAGGTTCTATTGCTTCTATCTTCTCCTGAGCCTCTCTCTGCATATCCTTAAAATCACATTACATGCTTTTCCTGCACACTGGATGGAAGTGTCATACAGCAGGCAGGGAGAAATGCCTTTTCAGAAAGCATACACCCTGAACAGACAGTGAAAATTTTATGTAAACTCATTTATTCTTCTTGCTGCATCAGGTACTCCTGTTTGGGGGTGGGAAGAAGGAAGTGAGTAAAAAATTTTTCGGGAATCAGGTTCTTTCATGTGTGTCTTCTGTGGTCAACTCGATGTCTTTTCCTTCTCAAACTTTAATCAAATGGGCAGAAGGCTTCTGCCTCCATTTAAAAAATATTTGTATCAGTCGTCATAAAAATCTGCTATAAAGACAACTTTAAATGTTGAATTCCACTCTGGAATGAATCTATCTTAATATAATTAATAATTAATTGGGATTGCTGACTGTTCATGTTTCTGAAGAACAATGTCCTGAGAAATCCTGCTGAAAGATAAAATACCAGATTCTGGACTTTCAAAAAGTATGCCTGCACTTGCTCTTTTATGTTCCTAGAAAAACATCTGTGTTGTGGGCTGATTTGCTAGAATGTCAATTCTGTGAAAATCTGAGGTGAAATTACAGAAGGGGATGCAGTGTAAATAAAATTTTTCTTCAGATTCCTTTATTAAAAAATGCTGCTTTTGACATTAAATAATCCAGGTCTTTGTTTTATTGCAAACCAAATTACACAATACAATGTCAATATTCACAAGGAGGGATAAAAAGAGAAAATCTTTCACAATATTTTGCTATATATTTGACTTTAAGTTATATAAGGGACAAGCAGAAGCATTCTCTGAACCATGAGAACCTTTAGGAATTCATGGAATATGAGGGAGGTCTCAGTGGCCTAGAGGCAAGCACAAGACTAGGCACAAGACTGCCCAGTCTTAACCAAGGGAAATGGTTGAGCAGAGGAGAACACATCATGAATCTCAGGTCAGTTAAAGGGATCTTCATTCCCAGCCCAATACAGGAAGGTACTAAAAAACAGTCTGTAAGAACCTCGAGAATTGTAACAAGATTCCTAGAAAGATGGATTTGGCAAAAATCACACTATTACTTCATTTTTTTGGAGTCGTGGTGCAGAATAGTGCAGACCTTTCTGAAGTCCAGCTATGTGGCAAGGTCCCACACACTCCTGTAAGCAGAACAGGAGAAGTATTTTAGAGGAAATGAAGATTCCAAGGATGATGCATAATTGGTTGGATAAACTGCACAACTGTGAGTTTTCATAATGCCCTATTAATTTGAGAGAACATGTCAAGCAGGGTGCTACAGGTGGAATAATCACATTAGCTCCAGGGAGGAGGGAATGGAGATTTCTGTAAAGTCTGTGGAGGAAAGAAGGCTGGGAAGGCTTGCAGGCATCTCAATTTCTTGAGATTTTACTGAATGCTATTATAGCTCGTCATAGCCATGACTTAAATAGGGTTTTGACATCACAACATCCTTTAAGGAAAAAAAAAAAAAAAAAAAACTTTACACAGTGTAGTCAGAAGAACAGAGATGCAGCTTTCTTTTTCTGAGACCTGTTTGCATCAAAGAAAAGTGTTGCTATCTTGGTAAACAGAGGAGAGACACAATAGTCTGCTTATGCACCATAAGCAAAACTGAAACACAGCAGAGACGTGATACAGATTTAGCTAAAAGCCTGCAGGTGCTGCAATTGCACATAGACCTGTTGGCTTACAGGCACTGTGGGCACTCTTGGGTACATGAGGAGACTGGAGAAGAATATTTACTGATTTCTTGAACGGGTTTCCCATTTTATTCCTTACCTCCAGGCTTTCCTTCAGCATGCGTCAATATTGCATGTCAGATAAATGTTGCCTTCACTTGCACTCCAGGCCATCCCAGAATGGGACCCTTGGCAGGCACCTAGGCTCACTCAGACTGCCCTGTGTATAGATCCTATGTGCTGTGCTAGGGATAAGGCACTGCAGAGTACCACAGTCACTTCTCAAAATACAACTTCAGTCAGCAAAAGTAGCTGTTAAGTTGCTTTTTAAAATAGGCATTTCTGAAATTTTACTCTAAATCGCAGAAACATTAGGTAATACCACCCAGCTCTTCCCCCAGACCATTGCTCAACGTTGTCTTGGCAGTTGTCTTCTCTTTTGTCAAGAGCCCTCCAGCCCCAAAGAGAAGCAGCACAGTTAATAATGTTCTACCTCTTGTCCCTTGAGACACTGAGACAAATGGATCTATTTAGCTTTGCTTCATGGTTCTCTCGCTGCAAAGAGAAATGAGGTGGCCTGCAATAGGTACTTTGTATATACATGAAAATAAATATCTCTTGCAATTCTGTGCTCAGTTTTACAGACTTCCACTATTAACTTGTGGAAGAAGGATATCTTTCTACTCCAGTACCATTAAATAATTGTCATCCTGGAATGATGATTACCCAAGATTTATTGAGCATTTGCAGTGTCCTTAATGCCATGTAACCATATCCTTGGCATAAAAAGCATATCATGTGAGGCTCTGCACTTTGGATGTAGTCACAGATGTAGTGTACAGGGTGACTGTTAAAAATATTTAAGGAGGATATTTATGAAGCAGTAAGGTGACACACAATTTCAAAAACAGAGCTTATAGAGCAGCACTGGGTAGCAACTATGGATGAACACTTCTGTCTTTTGCCTAAAGAAAAAAATGTGAAGCTAAGGCTTCTGCTTGGGATATCAGTCTTTAATGCTTTTTCTCTCTCTGTTACAGCTTACACAATCAGTCATGTCTCTGTTAATGCATAGAGGCATGAAAACATATTTTAGTTAATTGCCACATGCTGGCAATCACTTTTATTGGTTTGGGATTGGTCTTCAATTGGAAAATGACATTTGGGAACCTAGGAGAAAGGATAGTTGTCTTTCATCTGTCAGAATACCTTAAAAAGACATTGTTTTGCCTGTTTTCAGACATGGAAGAAAGGTCTGGAACATGATAGTGCTTGCATGTATAATGCAATAGAAAAATACTCTAAACCTGCCTTTTCTGGGACACTTCACAGCCTCTGACGTGAAAGACGTGACAGAGCCAGTAGTGGAGATGTGGTACTGGGCTCAAGTTAGTGATAGGAAGGACTTGGGCTCATAGAACAGTCAAGAGACGTTGTCGTAGCTTAGGCAAAACAGTCCAAGGGCAAGACTGACCTCAGCACTGTGGCCAAGAAAAAGGCTTCTGAAGCAAGGGAAACAGTCAGGAAGTTACCTGTTTTACACCATTCTGTTGTTTAGGTCTGTCACTGTATTAACATGAACTGAAACAAATTTCAGCCTGTAATAAGTGGATTGGATTTTGCCTTTCTTATCATACCTTCAGTTATCTCTTCTTTGAATGGGTCTGCTGGTTTCAGGGGATGAGCAGTGGCACGCTAATCCCCAAAGGACTGAATTACCTTAAACTGTAATACGTAGCAAAATAGAAATTATTATTTAAATTAAACTAATTCCACTGTCTCTTCTTTACTACAGGTGGTGGATGTGGACTTTAAAACTGTGTCTCAACATCTCATCCTCAACTATTTTTAGTCTGATTGCACTACGAAAGAAAAGCTGCTAATGGGATAAATGTTGAGACTTTACAAGAACTGACTTGAATACCAAAAGCCATTATTATTATTATTTTATTATTACTATTATTAATCAAGAAGAGCTTGAAGCTAAGTCTATATCTGACCAGTCATTATCATTTCACAGTAACAGTCATGGCAAGTAAACGAAAATCAACAACACCCTGCATGGTCTTAGCCAATGAGCAGGATCCAGATCTAGAAATGGTGTCAGACTTGGAGGAAGGACCACCTGTGCTCACACCAGCAGATAACCCTACAGCAGAGGGTGTAACAAGTGATGAAGATGTTCATGAGTGTGTGGATTCAGACAATAAGAAAAACACAAATAAAGTAGAAGGTGGTTATGAGTGTAAATACTGTACTTTTCAGACTCCAGATCTCAATATGTTTACTTTTCATGTGGATTCAGAACACCCCAATGTAGTATTAAATTCATCCTACGTTTGTTTAGAATGTAATTTCCTTACCAAAAGATATGATGCTCTCTCAGAACATAATTTGAAGCACCATCCTGGAGAGGAGAATTTTAAATTGACTATGGTGAAACGTAATAACCAGACAATCTTTGAACAGACAGTAAATGATCTCACTTTTGATGGGAGTTTTGTTAGAGAAGAAAATGCTGGACAGGCTGACTCTTCTGAGGTCCCCTCATCAGGGATCTCTATTAGCAAAACTCCTATCATGAAAATGATGAAAAGCAAACCCGAGGCTAAACGTATTGCTGTTTTCCACAATACAGTTGATAACATTCCTGGTGAAGAAAAGGGAACTGAAAATGAGCCAGACCCTGAAGAAGTGGTAGAAAACCCCCCAGCAGCAGTTTCTGAACCAAAACCAAGCCATTCAGTTGTGTGCAGTGCAGCAGATGTGGCCGGGGCAGTAGTGACCCCAGCACCAGTGCTTCAGCCTGGGGTGGCGCAGGTTGTGACAGCTGTTACAGCTCCCCAGAACTCAAACCTGATTCCAAAAGTACTCATACCTGTAAATAGCATTCCAGCCTATAACACTGCTTTGGATAACAATCCTCTTTTGCTTAACACCTACAACAAATTCCCATACCCAACCATGTCGGAAATCACTGTTCTCTCCTCTCAAGCTAAGTACACGGAAGAACAGATTAAAATCTGGTTTTCTGCCCAGCGTCTGAAACACGGAGTGAGCTGGACGCCAGAGGAGGTGGAGGAAGCAAGGAGGAAACAATTTAATGGCACAGTGCATACTGTGCCACAGACAATTACCGTTATTCCAGCACACATTTCGGCCTCTAGCAATGGTTTACCTTCAATTTTACAGACATGCCAAATAGTTGGTCAGCCAGGACTTGTTCTCACTCAAGTTGCAGGTACAAATACATTACCAGTAACAGCCCCAATAGCTTTGACTGTAGCAGGAGTCCCAAACCAAACACAGTTACAGAAGAGTCAGATTCACAGTGCTCAGCCTACTGCAGAAACCAAACAAGTAGCTGCAATTCCAGCTCCTCAGCCTATCAAAAATGAATCCACACTGATGAATCCTGACTCCTTTGGCATCCGAGCAAAAAAAACTAAGGAACAACTGGCAGAATTGAAAGTCAGCTACCTTAAAAACCAGTTTCCTCAAGACTCAGAAATTGTTAGACTTATGAAAATAACAGGCCTCACTAAAGGAGAGATCAAAAAGTGGTTCAGTGATACACGCTACAATCAGAGAAACTCAAAGAATAATCATGGGATTCATCTCAACAGTGATTCATGTGCCACCATTGTTATTGATTCAAGTGATGAAATGAATGAATCTCCAACAGGAGTCACTCCACAGAGCAAGCCATCTTGGGGTACTTTTCCCGATTTCACCCCACAAAAATTCAAAGAGAAGACTTCTGAACAGCTGCAAGTCCTCCAAGCAAGTTTTCTTAATAACCCTGTCCTTACTGAGGAAGAGATGAATAGATTAAGAGCCCAAACAAAACTGACCAGGAGAGAGATTGATGCCTGGTTTATAGAAAAAAGGAAATCAAATGTCTTGAAGGAAGAGGGAGCTGACATGAATGAAAGCAATGCTGGCAGCTCCAAAGAGGAGTCTGGAGAAACATCTGTGGGAGATGGAGCAGCAGGAACAAAATCAGGGTGTTCTACTTCAAGCAAAATAGGCAAAAAATCACCAGAGCAGTTGCACATGCTCAAAAGTTCCTTTGTCCGTACTCAGTGGCCATCTCCACAAGAATACAACAAGCTGGCAGAAGAAACTGGGCTTCCAAGATCAGAAATTGTGAGCTGGTTTGGAGATACTCGCTATGCCTGGAAAAATGGTGGATTGAAATGGTATTACTATTACCAGAGTGCCAGTGCAAACAGTCTGAATGGCCAAGGCTTTGCAAGGAAGAGAGGGAGAGGAAGACCAAAAGGGAGGGGGAGAGGGAGACCTCGGGGGAGGCCTCGGGGAAGCAAGAGGTTAAATTGCTGGGACAGAGGTGTATCTGTCATAAAATTTAAAACTGGAACAGCAATCCTGAAGGACTATTATATGAAGCACAAATTCCTTAATGAGCAAGACCTTGATGAACTGGTAGCCAAATCTCACATGGGATATGAGCAGGTCAGAGAATGGTTTGCAGAAAGGCAAAGAAGATTAGAACTTGGAATAGAGCTGTTTGATGAGAATGAGGAGGAAGATGAAATGCTGGATGATCAGGAGGATGAGGAAGAAACAGATGATAGTGATACTTGGGAACCCCCTAGGCATGTTAAACGTAAACTTTCAAAAACAGACTGATGTACAATTTGGAATTTGGGGGCCAAAAACCTATGAATTAGGTTTGATGTTATTATGAAGAGCCAAATGATTTTTCATGGCCTTCAGTTTAGCAAGCAGCTGCTTAGCATCTTCCTTCCACCTAAGAGTACCTGGGCAAGATGCTACCTGTGCAGGCAAGAACTGTTTGCTTTGTTGCTACAAGAGATGAACATCCTCAGGCCTGGCCTGGGACAGGGGGTTACAAATCAGATCAAGTTCAGCTCTTCCTTTCCCACACTACCGATGGGAAGGTTCATGTTCATCATACACGTGACTGCTTCTCAGTATTTAATTGCCTTATGTTGTTTAATTCCAAAAAAACACAGACACTTTTTTGTTGTTGTTGTTGCTGTAAGAGAACATTGCCTGCTTGTGAAGGAGGAAAACACAAAAACATTAGATGTCTTTTTGCAAACATCACTTCATCTGAAAGGTTTCAAGGCCTGGCTCTCTTTCTTAAGGAAAGCGTTGAAAACAAAAGAGAAGGGGAAAAGTGTGACAAAAGGAACCAATGAACCTAGGGGTGAGGATTGATTGGTTTCAGAAAATAAGGTGATATCTGCACCTTTTGCATATCTTTGGAGTGTTTTGGGTTTACAGAACTTGGACTGAAGTGTTCCTTGTTGAAAATGATGAGCTAACTGAATGAGTCTGATGCTAGAAGAAGTTTTGTGTTACAGTCAGTATAATCAGTGTATCCCATATCAATCTAATTTAAATGTCTGACAGACTTGATGCAGTTAATAGTAACACTCACTTCTACCTTGTGCATTCTTTCCTTTGTTGGAAATGGTAAAAGAAGTATCTATATTTCAAAAAAAAAGAGTAATTTTTTGAAATCTGACACTGAGTTTTAAGGTTAACAAAAGACAAAAACTGCCTGGGAGTTGTTCAGAGTTGCCTAGGTGTTTGTAAGAATACACAGATACAGAGATGAAAAACATCTTTTGGAGCTAGTAAGAAAGGTTTTCAAGTAAGTTGTGGCAATGACATGGTGTTTAATTCACCAAAAAAAATGAAGTTATATGGCTTTTAGATGCTTAGCTATTACAAACACGTTAGTGTTGAATTGTTCTTCAGTGATAGCCCAGTTGAGTGATTTGTGTGCAGGTTTAACAGTAAAACATCCTAATTGAACTCACCACTGTGCTGATTGCTCCTAGGACTGCTGGGTGAACACACTTATTTCTGGAGGTGGGTTGATCTACCTGAACTGAACTCCAGAAGTAGTTAAATCTGATACAAAACATTCCCATCTTAAATAAGTGTATATAAAATAATTTTTTTAAAAAGCTATTTCGTCTCAATACTGTGAAGTTATAGTGTAGTTTGAATTAGCAACTTAAAACAATAGACCAAATTCACACAAACTTAGTTTAGGCAGATGTTTCGCATTCTAGAGAACTGTTACTCCAAGGAAGAGTAGTTTATATTTTTGCTACTGGTAGCTTGCATTTTTAGGAATAAGTTACTTTATATTTAGATGTCAAAAGATGGTGATGAATTGGTGCTGCTGTCACCAGCGTTGTTCTGCTTTTACATTGGCACTAATGGATACTAGCAATCTCCTTTTGCACATCCGACAGCATCTTCTCTGTAGGCTTCTGCATCTGATGACTGATGAGGACAGATTAGTGCCGAGAAAGTGGGACCCAGTGTCTCCCCATCTCCAAGAACCTATGCTAGAATTTTAGAATTAGTCTTTCTTCTGGATTGTGATAACTCAAAAAAACGAAGAAAGCCCTTTTATTCTTGCTTTTCTGAAGCAGAGGAGTCCATGTTGGATCTGGTTTTCATATCTGATTGCGGGTGAAGCCCAGGCTAAAGTAAGAAAGGGAGTAATGTCTGACAAAAAACATTGTTACCATCCCAGACCTTCCTCTCTGGACTCTTGTAGCTGCCCTTCTGCTCACAGATTGAATGAGTTCCCTGAGCTCCAGGAGGATGTTTCACAGGAAAGCCATTTACTGGGTTACCTCTTCTGACTGTTTTAAGATTACTGGGGAGAAAAAGGCAATAGCTTATGATATATGTCATGAATTTGATGATGAAACTATTCCCTCGCTTCCAAGGCTCAAGTTGGTGAGACACAAAGTGGCCAGCACTGCTAGAGAGGAATAGCCAAGAATCCCTCATTTTAACTTTGGAGTGGGGCAGAAGCAACCCCATGTTGTCAACATATATCATGGGATTTTTTGTGACTCTGCATGTGAGGTGGTACAAGAGTGATCAAGATCTGGCCTTTTCAGCATGGGGCTGGGAAGGATTCTCATTTGTGTATTAGTAGTGTGGATGATGGTAATAGTGTGCTGTTGTAGATCCTAGCAGATACAAGAAAGACTCACGCTAGCTTCAAGCTCTGTTGGGAATACAGGGTCAAAAATCTGTGCTTGCTGAGTAGGAAAGAACAAAGCTAGAAGGAAAATATGCTATTTTTAAGTTTCCAAAAATATTAAACCAAATCCTTGGGAATATGCCTCTAGCAAGCAAAATCTGGAGTTGCCTTAATCCTTGAAGTTGACCCAGAATTAAGTTTCTTAAAAAAAAAAAAAAAACAACAACAAAAAAAACACCAAAACAACCAAGCAGCTTGTCCAAATAAATATCTTCATTTTTGTTACCAGAGCCTTAGTTAGGTTAGCTAAGAATTCTGTCTTTAAAAAATGGGGGAAAATACAAAGATCCAAGTTATTTACGTGACTGAACTGGGATATTTTCCACTTTGGCAGTGTTCTATTAAATAATACTCAGCTACAAAGGTAGGCCTTAGCACATCTGGTCTGAAAAACACAGGAAGAGGAAATACATTGTTTATCAGACTAAATATAGTTGGATTGGAGGTCTTCTTTCAGTAGAATGGTCAGAGACAGTGGCTGATGCATACTGGGCCAGATTTTCAGTTACTGTAAATACTAAAGTTCCATATATTCCACTGGTTATACCAGTATTTACAGCCCAATGAGAAAATTATCTCTTTGCAGAACATAAAATTGAAATTAAACCTTGTGCTGTGAATCAGCTAATGAGAGATGCAGAGTCTACACATAGCATGTTGAGCTAAGTGCACATTTTAAGCCTTTCAGTTGTGCTAAGGATGAGGAAATTCTGGGTGGGTTCAACCCGAAGACAGAAGTTGTATGCATTCATTATTGCCCATAGTCTGACAGTTATTTCTGCTTGAAGAATCCATTAATTACCAGTGTGCAGCATGTGTATATTTGCACTGGGAGAGAGGCAAACTCCTTCCAGAGGCCTCCCGTGTCAGGAGTGATTGAGGAAGCACTGGAAGGTGCTGTGGTCAGTTGTACCTCTGATTTGTGGTCATGGCTGGTGGGAACTCAGAGCTGCTGGTAACAGTGGTTCAGCCCAGATTCACCTCAGCCACTCTTAGGCTGCTGTGGGCACTGTACAGTCACTGAGAGAAACAGAGGTGGCCTGGGGGGTGGGAAGGATATGGCACCTTCTCATTCTACCCATCCCTGGAAACTCCCTGAACTTAAGCACATCAACAAGTGTCTTAATGTATTATGATTCTGAGCACCTCTGTGCTCATCAGCAGTGCACCCCTGCAAGCCTGGCTCCCTTTTATAGCTTATGCACACTTCCAAGGTGTTTTGGAAGCCATTTGGACTGAGTTGTGGTGGCAGTTGGAAAGGAAGGGGAAAGAAAATGTGTCTCCCCAGGAGTGAGTGTCCATGTGACCTTCTTGATTTTCTTGCATGGTAAGGAATGTATCTATATGAACCTGTGGTATGTTTTCTGTATTTCTGTGGAGCTTCACCTCTTAGCTCATTATGAGCCAGGCTTCAGTGATTGTCACTGACAGTGTGACAAAGAAACTTGCTTAGATCTTACCTCTAGGTAGCTGGTTTCTCAGTCTTCTTTGGCACCACTACATCAGAATTCAGTTGTGAACATCTGAAAACCTTCAGAGCTAAGCTAGTGCATTTCTCTTCATTTACTGTTTCTGCCAGGAGTACCTGCTCTCATGATGCCAGTTGTGCAGCCTCTGGAATTCAACTAGAGAGAGAATACAGATAATCCTCTGCCAGAATGGAGAGGGAAAAGGGCTAAAAGACAGAATGCAGTGGGGACCAGGGACAACATCCACCATCACAGTGTCATCCTGCTTCATGGCATGTTTCACCCTCACTTCCAAGTGCAGTGAAAGAGCACAGTTCCATCTTAAAGACTGCTGTCTTCCCAGTATCACCTCTCAGTGACCCCAAAGTTAGTGTTGGAAAAAAGAAAGTCAGGCCTATATTCCCCTGGAGGTTTGAAGGAACTAACAGTGCTGGCTTGTAAGAAGTGAACAGAAGGGAAAACGCAAAAGCTTGAAGGCTCTGACTTTTCCTTGCCCTGCAGAATTTACTTTTCTAGAAGTTGATAAGCAAAACAAATTTAACTCCTTCTGTTCTGACAGAAGGAGTAAATTATTACAGTCACTCCTTTTTAGCACATAGAAATCTCTTCTTTGTCTGAAAGCAAAGAAGAGGAAAGATACCTAGTACCTGATTATTAGAATTTAGTGTATTATCTCTAATACACTGTAGTAAGTGAGGCCATGCCTTTTTTAACCTTGTCTGGTACCATGTTGAAAACTGCTTTTTCATTACATTATGAGCTGTAATTCATAATTCAAAGTTACTGACTACAACTTTGATTATTGGGAAATTCACGCAGTGTCCATACATGACATGAAATAATTTTCTAATGGATTATTTGCTCACCTTGAACAAAAGCAGATTTTCTCTCCAAGAAATGCTTGAGGCAGGCAAATGCACTCCCTTCCCCTCTAATGAGCAAAGAAAGGGTTTCTGGATCCCATACAAAGTTATTCATGGCTGTACACGGTCCCTGTAGGCCAGAAAGCCCAAAGATGCAGACATTCTCCTCTGTTTTCCTCTGAAGTGAGAGCACAGCAGTAACTCTGACAGCTGATCTCTGGCTGCTGAGTAACCAGGCTGTGGTTTAAGGTGGGGAGTGTTTTCCCTTTTGCACTTAACGGAGTACTGTGTATTCAGGCTGGATGGCAGTGTTTGCTTCTGTAAATATGGCAGTGCCGATTTGCATCCTCCACCTGAGTCCAATACCTGTCTATATCTCCCAAGGAGAGAAGATAATCTTTAAGCTTCTGTAGTGTTAAATATCCCTGCCCTAACATGAAGGCACAAAAGTAGAGTGGAATTAAATATAGCTATTTAATTTATTTTTTGCTTTGGAAACAATTTTGCTTGCATTAAGTAGTAATAGAGAGATAGTATCAATGACCAGAGAAGAATAGAACTTTAAGAATTATTTATAATACCTAGGATGATGGTGTAAATTAAAGATGGAAAGGGCTAGTAGAGGATTCAGTTCCCTACACTAAACAGTGGTGGGTTAAGTCTGTATTCTCCATCCAGTTTGTGATATCCTAAGATCAGTAGATTTACCAAGAAGCATGACACAAACTTATCAGGTCAAGTTACTTGAGGTTTGCTGATATATTAAAATTCTTTAGGAAAATATTTTGAAACAAGTATTTCAACAGAAAGTGAAAAATCCCCTTAATGGCTACTAACACACGATAACTCAAATTTCTGCATTTTTTCCCCACTTCTAAAAAGGGATCTTTTGAAGCACAGGTGGGTTATAGCCAGTATTTCCAGGTTTAATGGTTGGAGTTCTTGGGGATTTTTCTCCTTCTGTGGTGAAGAGCATCTGCACCTTTTCAGTGAACAGTTGTTGCAAAACCAACTCACACAACATTATAAAATGTAGAGGGATAACTGAGCATTCGGTAGCACTTTTCATGAATTAAGGTGGGATTTGTCTGATGCATGTTGATGTCTGCAGTGGAGCAAGGCACTGTAGGTATTCAGCACAGCAAGGAGTGCACACTGCTCATCCTGCATGCCGGGAGTAGCTGAGGAACTGCACCCCAGCTCCACTGACTTACCCTGACTTGCGGGCAGCCGCTGACACTGCAGACATCTGACATTGCCGAGAGAGATCTTTGTGTTGTGCTGAGCAGTGGTACTGACCTCTGCTTCCAACCTGATGCTTGTTGGGAACTGAGGCCTTTTTTTTTTTTCTTTTATTTAGAGCAGGTAGCACTACAGTGATGGATAAAGTAACTGATCCTTGGTAATAATACAGTGGCAGAAAAAAATGCTTTTTTGGTTTTCTCAAGTGCTGATGTGAAGCCCCCCAGCTTCCCCTGCCCGGCAGAGGCACCTTCAGCTGCGGGGTCACTGCCCTGGGTCTCCCCTGGATCCCGAGGAGGGTCAGGGGGCGCTGAGGCAGAAAGTCACACTGCCTGCCTTGTTTGGGGGAGAGGCGGCGTCTGAGGAGGTGTATGGAACTCAAAGCTACAGAGAACCCAGCAGCCAAAAGTGGCCTCGAGGCTTTTCCAACATCTTAAATACCGGGGCGGTAACAAGGGGACGGGAACACCCATTGACCAATGGAGGAATTTGGGGGAGCAGAAGGTGAAAGGACAGACAGATACAAAAACCAATGGGGAAACTTAAGGGCGGGACCCCAGGCCCTCATCCAGTCCCTCGAGGCCCAGGGTAGAAGATTCGGGAAGAATGGGATGGAGGGCGATGGGTACCAGGGAGGGAGGATGAAGTGTCCGAGCATTGTCAAGGAGATTGGCACTGAGGGAACTGTGGGAAAACTCGGCATGGAAACATTGGGAGAAAATGGGGGTGGAGGGGCAAACCATTACAGAACTGTTACCAAAATATAAGAACACAATACAACACTCAAGTATTTTAGAGATAAGGTTACTGTGTGAGCATTGGACTCTGCATAACCTAGAATGCGTTAGGACACATAATATTTGTGTCCCGGTTGATGAAAGTATTTCCTTATGCTTATTCGGTACTAGATACCTATCATGAAAGTGTCCCCAAAGAGTGCTAGAATGGCAGAAGAGTCAAGTCCTCATCTATGCTATGAAATGATCAACCACAAGAGCTCTGCTGTGATATCAGAATGTTCCCGCATCTTACAGTTTCAGCTTACAAAAGTATTTCCAGCCCTGCATAGTTGGCTCTCTGCATGTATGCTTAGAGTGTGTACAGAAATGCACTAAAATGAGTTGCCCTACCTGGGAAGGCTTTATATTGTACAGAAAATGTGGCACTAGGTACTGCTCTTCATGTGCACAGGAGAGTTAACAGGTGTCAGTCTCGTTTACAGAAATGATGGCGCTTTGCAATTTTCTATAATATATTGCAATATATTTAAATGTCCTGTTTGACATGTGAAATGAAACTAAGTTAATGCATTGTTTGTATTTGAAGTATGAGGAAGATGATTCACTAACGACCAGCAAGGTTTTTAGAAAGGTGTCCAGTATGTAGCTGTCTGTGTGATCTGTCTGGTGTACGTGATATTAAAGGAAGCAACAATACTGTCACTGTTTAGAATGAAGAGTTTCTTTTGAATGATGCAATACCTTACAATGTGTTTCCTTTGTAGCTGCCCAGCGTGGTGAAGGGGAAGCAATTCTTGAAAAATTTCAAGATAACTGGTTAACTGTGAATGGGCCTAATATTTCGTGAAACCAAGAAAATTTTTGGACACACACAGGACTTGAATACTCAAAAGGATTGGAACTTAGTGTTGTGCCAAAGCTAAACTACTGCAGTTGGCAGTTCTGCACTGTAAATAGAAGACTGATTAAAAGACAGCTTGTAAAAAAAAAATCAAATTTTAATATACGTTTTTATTCTGATACATGATGGAAACATTCAGTTTTAAACCTTTTTTGAAGAGGCTTCAGTGACCACTAGATTTTGTCCTCTTATATTTTGTTTGGCCTAATACTATTTGTTTTAGTAAGATGGGCTTTATTGCCTGTGTTCTTTGATATGTGATTAAGCTTATAGCTTTGAGTGACCAAACATTTTACAGAGTAAAAGTTCTTAGAAACAGTATAATGTAACTGATATATCTGTGTCTTATTTATCAGGCTCTGCACAAACTTGGAAAGTTGTGCTGGACTTGTACAACTGGTGTATGGGAACGCAGCATACTTCTGGATATTACAAACCTAAGCCTTTGTGGCTGTATGGATCTTGTCTTTGGATTTATTTTTGTTATTTCTTTTTGAGGCAAAGAAACGAATGGATGCTGCTGTAAAATATTTGTAATATTGCCATTATTTCTTTCTGTAGCAATTATTGCTTTTGCTTCAACAGATAAAGAAAATAAATCAGAGATAGAAAAATCCTAAAGACGCTGGTAGAAGAAAGGATCATGTGAGAACTTCTGAAAATAAACTTTGTACCAAAAATTTGAAAACAGAAATAATGGAATAAATGTCTCCTTACTGAGTGTGTGTGGTTTTAAGAGGTGGTGTGGAAACCAAGAATCATGTCTGTATGAAAATGTCACAAATCAGACCTTCTCAAATATCATTTTCCCTGTTACACAAAACGGAGTTTCACCAATTCCTGCGATGCACTGAATTTGGAGAAGTGCCTTGGCGGAGCAGCCAGCGTGAGGTCAGCTCCACTGTGAGTCAGTGCAGCTGCTCCTTGCGCGTTCTGCCGTGTCAGCCGCCCTGGCACGTTCGCGTGGATTTTCTCATTAGGGCAGATGCTTTTTTAAATGGCATTTAAAATATTCCGGGTGGGAAGAGTAGGGGCGGGTAGGAACCACCTCCTTACTGAAGGCTCTGTCAATTGGACAGGCTGCTGTAACCGGTGTCTTTTCCTGAGATGAGAGGGGTCTGAGGAAAGAGCTGCTGTGAGCTCCGTCCTTGTCCCGGGAGCTGAGCTGCCGTCACTCCCCGCCCGAGGCAGTGCCGCTGCCTTGCTTTGCTGGGATTCATCGCGCCCGTCTGTTCCAGCTGTTGGGCTGCAACTGGAGCAACTCGAGTCTGAGATTCTCTTACAGGACCTGGCATTGTGCTTGCACATGTATCCCCAGCAAAGAAAAAGATGTTTAAAGTGAGAGAGAGAGTCGTTCCTCTGCTGTAGTTAATGTCGGTCTGAAAAATGACATCTCTAGCTGAAGTAGTGACCTAAGCACAGGACCAGAGATGAGCATGACTTGTCACTACAGCTTGGTGTTTGGCCAAATAGTTTTACTTGTTTGGGTAAAAATTAGCTTTTTCAAGAATCCATCAGCTAATGAGAGAGTTAGAAGAAGCACCAGATTATGCATGCAGTCACCTTTTTCTAAAGGTATCTTTTGTTTACAGTGTTACCAGCAATTCCAAAATGCTGCAATTCAGTAGATACTTTCACAAGAGATCAGCTGGCCTTGTGAATTGTTTCCCCTTTCCAAACCCCTTCTTCCCAGCATGTTTCAGCTTACATTTGTTTTCACAACAACACTATCAACTACTATTTTTGCAAATTTTAAATACCAAGCTACTTTGTGTACTGCCTTTTTTCCTTTGTATGCCAGAAAGTCCCCTCTATAAATTGTTCCCTATGGGCTTGGTATTGCTTTGAAATACTGCTGGTGGGGGTCCCTAGTCTCATATAGATGGTGGTTTCTAACATTTTTTGGTGGTTAAATGACTTGTTGCACTTCAAATACTGTAAAATGAAATACCTGGATATATGTTTCTACTGCTATTATTGGAATTACTAGCATTGTGACTAATTTCTCTCCCATGTGTGTTTCTTCACAGGTTCAGTGCTGAGCTGATCTTCATTATCTTAAAATATTTAGTAGAAGAAAGAAAATATGGAAAAAGGAAAAGAAAGTGTGTGTCACACGTAGTTGATTTGTGTCTTTGGGTGAAAATAAGGTCAGTGTTGGCAGTAATTCTCCTCTTAGTGATCTTCAGTTTTCCTAAATGAGAGCCAAAGAGGAAAAACCATAACTTCAGCAAAGCCTGTCTAAAGGGAATAACAAGGAAGACAGCCCACAAAATAGCCTGTAATAATGACGTGTTCTGAACCAGAGATGGTACAAATAGTATTGCAATTGTAACTGCTCTCAGTTCTGGAGTTTCCAGCAGCTGGCCAGAGCCTCCAGATGAAGTCCAGCTGCAAGAATTTCTGTGCAATTAATGGGCACCCACAACATGCAGAACTGGAGCCCCACAGACACCCTGTTAAGGAAGAGGTTAATAATTTTTCCTAGAGATACCACAGTGTTAAAAACTGCATCACTGATGCAAGTTTTACAGTTTTCTTTGCTCTAAATGCATTTCACGTGCAATTATTGGGGGAAGGGAGCAATTGTGGGCAAAGTCCATCCTGGATTTCTGCATTTTGTTTGCATGTGTTCACTGAGCAGTGCTTTCCCTCTGCTGTGACTCACTTCCTTCAGGCACTGCTACTTGTATAAGGCAATAAGAAGACAGAAGCTGAATTTAATAGCAGTTTCCACTAGGTCCTCTCCAGCAGTGCAAAAGCTGTATGGGAAACGAGGCACTGCAGAATCAACAGTTTGGTTGTTTCCCATGTGGAGGCAGCCTCCATATGGAAAAACAGAGCAAGGCCTGAAAAAACATGTGAGTTGCGAGGGTCATTGAAGGGCAGGTCTGAAGCCCTGAGTGTATTTCTTAAGTGTAGCTTATTTTTTTTCTAATTCTTTTGATTTGTTTCTCTTTGTTCTTGCTCGAGAGAGATGTTGTAGTAAGTCAGCTCGGTTTATTCAGTGTTACAAAAAAGGTCTTAAATGGAGTCCTAGAGGAGTTGCCACCAGTGTTGCTTGGTCCTGCCCAGTCCTGAGAACTGCAGTAGGAAAGTTTTAACCCAGAGAGGTAACAAATCCACTGTGGTCTCTGTGGCCTGGTTTCATCATAAGTAGCAATTAAGCAACAAGCATAACAGTAGTGAGGGCAAGTTAATGAGTTTTCAGAAAAACAGATAAAACTGAAAAAACGGTGTAGAAGGAGGCATACAAACCTCACCATGCCCAACCCTGGGACTCTGTTGGCTGTTTTTCCAGTTAGAGCAGTAGATTGGCAATGCCACCCTTTGCCATGGCTTTTGTATTCACAGACCATCAAGGTACAACCTCAGTACAAGCACTGAGTGAAGCAGTTCAGACACAAGATCTTATCAGTACTGGAGATGTGTAAGCTTGCCTGGGAAGTTCGCTGCTTTGGGATTCTTTCTAGCACTTGATCACTTTCTTCCTTCTATCTTTCCAGAAAGCTTTTTTGCTCTTTTCTTTTCATGAGCTTTCTGGTCAAACTCAAGGGTGTACTCATGCTGCTCATCATTTATCCTACTAGACAGAAAATAATTGCAAAACCCATTAATAGCTGAACACATCTGTGTGCAGTACACCCTTTTGGCAATAACAACTTTATTGGGTTTTGTGAGGCCTGAGGGAGAGGGATTATGACCTAGTTAATATGTCTTGCCAGAGGCTTGAAAGGTTGCAGTGTATTAATGTAGAGCAGGCAAATGAACCCTCTTTTGGGGGATGCATCTTCTCCTGTCTGTCCTAAGAACCCCTAAGAATCTTTTGACTTCTTTTAACAATGAACACTTCACTCTCTTTGATTTTCACAATGCTCCCCTCACCTCCCCAGTCAATTTTTGTTGTATCAAACTAGAACTAGAACTTACTGTCATCATTGTAAGTTATGCTAGAGTTCATCTGAGCTCATCAGAGCGGTTTTGGTTTGTTTGTTTTTTTTTTTTTTTTTTTTGTTTGCAATTTGTAGTAGTGATAACCTCTGCCTGCCTCAAACCGTGAAATTTTATTTGTATTACCCTCCCAGTAGTCATGGACAATATCCCCTTATGTGTGACATCATGCAAAGAAGATGAAAGATGGTTTCTGCTGTAAAGACCTTTTAATCTAAATAAAAGGTAAGAGACAAGGACACAGTGAGACAATGTCAGCAAATAAAGAGCTACTCTTCTCCTTTCATAAATGTGTTTAGGGAAGAGCATATGTTATGACTACCCAACAAGAAAACTAATCTTCCCTCAAGGTATGAATATTTCACAATGTCTGGAAGAATCCACTTAATTCAGGAGCCACCCCATCCTTTGAGGAATGCTGCCTGTGGGCCTTATTTGGCCTCCTCATTACAGGCAGCTCTTTTGCTGTGAGAACTACTCTCTCTTCTGCTTTCTTCCAAAGGCAGCTGCTTTCCAGTATATTTTAATAAAGCCCTGTGAGCTGCATTATTCCTGGCCAATGTGTGTGGGTAGTGCCTACCAGGATAGGGCCCTAGTTGCCAACTGAGGTTTCTTGTTTCTGCTGTGTGTGCTTGATGGTCTCTGAAGCCTTTGTGGCATGTCTGTGCTGGCATAAAAACCATGTGGCTAGGACCCATGGAGGCTATCACAATACAAATAACAACATCAGTAATTAAAGAAACACTGGAGGAGGATTCTTATGAATTTATTTTGCCTCAGAGTAGACAGGGAAATGGGGAGACGAAGGGCATTAGACAAACTCTGTCTTCCATGCTGCATTTTCTTTTCCTGGCCAGAAGATTCAGGCAATAGGACAGCGTGGAAAAACCCTGCCTGCCGCTGGAATTGTGTTCACAACACAACTGGGCTGTCTCTGGGCACCCTGACTGCAAGATGAAGCACACTGGCCTACCCAGTGTGCCCCCACTCACCCAGGGCGAAGCTGGGTCACAGCCCCTCACCACTGCCACGCTCGTGCGAGCAGCCACAATGGCTTTGCTGATGCACAGAACTCACTTGGAGGCCACAACTTACTGGAGCCCACTTTCATTGGCCCACTGTTCATGTGCCGAGCTGGTGGCTGGCAGTGGAGTAAGCCCGTGGCTGCCTTTAGGGAGAGATTCATCTATAGCTTCTTTTTATCCCTGAAGCTGCCTACACAGAACAGCTGCAGCAGCACGAGCTCTTGTAGGGCTCGTATATCTGAGCTTTCTCAAAGCTGCCTCTTCCAGGGACGATGTTTTCTCCTCTGTGAAGCCAAGGCTAACAGCATCAAGGCAAATCATGCCATACAAACGTGGGCAAACAGCTTTACTTAAGTACAGTGAGAATTTCTATTCTGGCAGCTACACTGATGACTTGGATCTTGGGGGAGAAATTGAGCAAACCTCCAGTGCTGACAAGGCAGAGGGATTTCTTAAAGTTGCATTTTTTCATTTCTGTAACTAATATATGAGGAGCTTTTTAAATGTCTTGAGGGGAGGCAGGGGCAGGGGAGAGCCAAGCAAAAAAGAAATGAAGGAGAGGCAATACTTTGTCCATGACTTACTGAAACTACAAGTCAGCTGCTAGTCCCCCTGTGTGGCACTCGGGAATCGTGGCTCTATCACTGATTTACCAAACAAAGGCATTCTCTGCATTGCAACATGGAGCCTTTTGTAGACCACATTGGTATCCTCAGAAGAAACGATGGTCAAAACCCCCAGCCCTGGAGGACTCTGCAATCCAAGCTGGCAGCCACCCAGCTGCTGTGGGATTTGCCCCTGGGAATGCCTTGCTTATTGTGTTTTCCTTTGAGCTGTGGCCACATTTCACTTTGATTACTCATGTTCCTTTTTTTGGATTTTCTTTTTGATTTTTGCTTATTTGCCTTTCTGGATTTTTGTGCCTTGTTCATCAGACCGGTGTGCTGCAGCATGACCTGCAGTCCTGGAGCAGGGGGAAAGGGAAGGTGTGAGGGGCACTACAAGTGCTGAAACTGTTCAGACTCTTGTGCCAGCCTCTACAGTGTGATCCCCATGTGCTTTGCCTGCCTCCCTGCAGGCAGGAGGAAGCCAGATGGTTTTGATGTGCAAATACAAGTGACTGTCCTCACCTACCTTGATACTTTTAACGGGAAGACTGAAGCATGTCAAGTAAACTCCTGATTCCTTCAAGACTTAATTGCTGAACAGTTTCCTCTGTGCCGGAGGGCTTGTTTGCCAAATAGCAAGTTTACAACAAAAGAAACATCAATCTGCTTTTATTCTTCTGATCAAATCCAACTACCAAAGCTGAGTTGCTACCCTGGCATTTATGCCAGGTCATCCTACATCCAGTCACAGCTATGCTGGTATTGAAGAATATTTTAAGCACAATTAAAAAAAAAAAAACAAACAAAAACCCACCAAAAACTAACAAAAGTAAACCATATGTTTTACATGTCTTCTAGAAGGAAACCTTTAAAGTCATCTATACAAGCACTACTTTGGCCCCAAAAGGTGTTTTGGCATAGACAAATTCATTGGTTCATTTTGCAGGCTAAGGAAGTACTTTTCAGCTCGCCTTCTCCAAACCTGAGTGATGATTAGATGGGACAAAATGAACCTTCCTGGATGGACGGACTGGAGAGAGGAAACAGCACAGCACAGCAGTACCCTTAGAACACAGCACACTGTGCGCAGTAGTACCATGAGGAAGGGCAGGCAGCCGGGGCATATATTGCTTTCAGTGAGCAGCCAGTGTCTGAGTATTGACATCCTGAGGGAGGTCTGGGACGAGTGTTCACTTTGCTGTGTCCCCGTTTTCCATTGCACAGTGTAGGGTCTTCTGGGAAAGCCTGTCGGTGCAAGCCTGAAATTTCACAGAATCACAGGATTTTTAGGCTTGGAAGGGACCTCTGGAGATCATCTAGTCCAACCCCCTGACAAGGCAGGGTCACCTATAGCAGGTTCACATCTTCTGCTTTGAGGCAGAAGTGAAACTAAATGAAAAAGTTACCAAAACACATTCCCACTCACGCGATGCACAGTCACTTGGACGAGACGCTAACACGGCACCTCCACAATTACGCAGTAAATTTATGGAGGCACGGGACTGCAGCTCGGCTCGTTTCTGGCAGCGCTTCCCTTGGGGCGAGCGGTGACCGAGCTCCGCCCCCAGCGCGGAGCGGGAGCGGCGATGGAGCCGGCGCTGGGCCCGCAGTTCGAGGATTCGCTGTTCGCGCCGAGCCGGGAGCGGCGGCAGGGCGGCGGCGCCGGGGCCCCGCGCGGCGCCCGGCACTGCGAGCCCCGCGTGAGGAGCCGGGGCGGCGGGAGGCGGGCCGGGCCGGCTCTGCGTGTGCTCTGTGTGCCCGCAGGGGTTCCTGTGTGCCCGTCATGGGTCTGCGTGTGCTCTGGGTGTGCTCTTGGGTGTGCTCTGTGTGAGCTCTGCGTGTGCTCTGTGTGCCCGCAGGGGTTCCTGTGTGCCCGTCATGGGTCTGTGTGCGCTGTGAGTGTGCTCTGGGTGAGCTCTGTGTGCCCGCAGGGGTTCCGTGCCCATCATGGGTCTGTGTGTGCTCTGTGTGTGCTCTATGTGAGCTCTGTGTGCCCGCAGGAGTTCCGTGCCCGTCATGGGTCTGGGTGTGCTCTGGGTGAGCTCTGGGTGAGCTCTGGGTGTGCTCTGTGTACCCGCAGTGGTTCCGCGCCCGTCATGGGTCTGTGTGTGCTCTGTGTGTGCTCTGTGTGTGCTCTATGTGAGCTCTGTGTGTGCTCTGTGTGAGCTCTGTGTGTGCTCTGTGTGCCCGCAGTGGTTCCGTGCCCGTCATGGGTCTGGGTGTGCTCTGTGTGCCCGCAGTGGTTCCACAGCGCGGCTGACGCCGGGGAAGGCTCCTGCGGGATCACGAGCAGCAAGTTCCGGGCGGACTGGGCGTTCCGGCAGCGGCACTTCGAGGTATTTCCAGGGCGCTCGCAGGGGCCGGGGAGGCTGTGGGGACAGAGGGGGGCGGTCCTGCAGTCCCCGGTGTGCTGCCGGGGGTACATTATGTACATTATGTACATTATGTGCCTGCGGGTCTGGCGGCCGTGCCGCGGTCAGTGCCGCTCCCGGTCCGTGCCGAACGGGCAGGGCCGGGCGCGGAGCGGATCTGCGTTCCTGCCCCGATCCATCCGGGAGCGGCCTGCGGCGAGCCGGGCAGGGCCGGGCGCGGAGCGGATCTGTGTTCTGCCCCGCTCCATCCGGGAGCGGCCTGCGGCGAGCCGGGCAGGGCCGGGCGCTGCCCCGGAACTGATCGCAGGCGGGCGGGCTCACGGCAGCGGCTCGGCCGCCAGCAGAGCAGAGCGGCTGTGCCTGTGGCCGGGGAAGCCGGAGTCAGGTGTGGGGTGTGCCAGCGCCCGGGATAGTGCCGTGTCCCGCGAAGGCTGTCAGAGCGCTGGCTCACCTTTCCAGAGCTCCCCCCGCTGTCAGAGGAACGCTGCAGTGGCCCTCAGGCTCCTGCCGGGCGCGGAGCTGCCTCTGCGTGACTTGTGCCCGGTCCCAGGGCCGGCTGCACCTCCACCCGCAGTGGTCCCACACCTCTCCTCTCTGTATGTCCTGAGCCGCATTCCTCATCAGCGATGCTCTCCTGCCTTCTGCAGTCCTCGTTGCAGGATCTAGTTTTTCGTTACCTTGTTTCCTTGTTAAAATCAGCATCCCCAGGCCTTATTTCACGTGTAGCTTCTTCCAGCCTATGGTTTGCATTTCAGGCTCCCTGATTTCAAAGCCCTCCAGCTGACTTCTGACTCCTTTTGCCTTGCCCATTGGATTTGTAGATCTTTTTTGTACCTCAGTTGGCACTGATCCTAATGTTATTTCAGCACTACTGCAGCCCTGTGTATACCTGACAGATATTTTCTAGTCTCAGCTGAGATGCCCTGAAGGAATTCATAAAAGGGTGCTGGGTAGCAGGGCTGCCTCAGGCTGTGGTCAGATGTAGCTGCTAAATAGAACAGACCATTGCTTCCTAACTCTTTTCTGTTGCAGTGATTCATGTTACAAATCTTTTCAGTTTTATTGCTATCCTAGATCACTGGTGGAACAAGAAGCAGAGCTTGATTGCATATAAAATTATTGATTTGGAAGCATTGATCTTAGAAAGGGGGCTGGAAATGTATAAATAGGGGTAGTAATCTCTTCTCTCATCATCCATTTTTTACTTCAGGATAGGCCACTTGATAGGAAGTGTCAAGGACAGCAGTGATCTAAGCTGTGCCCATTTTTAGGATATAGATGACTAGAATCTGCTAGGGATTCATAATACCTGAACCTTACCAGGTTATATCCCTTTGTCACATAACAAGGCAAACAGGGTTGTCCTTAATCCTGTGATCCGTTTCCACCAGTGGTTGCTGCATGCACTGGGCAGAGGGGAGCTCCCTCTTTTGATTAAGAATGAATGTGAGCTCAGCATCTGGAAAGAAAAATATTTCAGCCATTTTGCTAGGAAGTATTTAGGGTATTTAGAAGCTCTTTCTGTTAGAACCAATAAGGTTTGTAAGGAATAATTAAATACTCATTTTGAGAGATGGGAGAATGAGCACTGCTCTTTAGTCTTCTCTCTAAGCACTTACACAAAGGGAGAGAAATCAAGATTCCAGACTTAGCTTCACTGAATGCTTAATTTAATGTATTTAAATGTTAATTGGAGTCCTGGTGAGTGCCCTGAGCATTAAACTGCAGAAGTATTGCTCATTCTTGCCTTTTTCTATAGCCCAATTAATATTTATTTCAAGTACATTGAAACCAGCCTACAGGAACAATGGAGATTCACCCTCCTTGTGGTATTCTCTAACTTACTGATTATTTGAGGTGAAATACTTGCAGGTTCAAACCTTCCCATGGAAAATGTCATGGTTTTGAAAGAAGGTCCTACAGATTGAGGATGAGTACTCAGATCACTGAGCTGGGGAAAAAGATGCTTTATGTCACGTATTACCCAGGGCAGTAAATGATCCCTTCTGGATCAGGCATGGTGGGAGGGAGGTGGAGAGGTGTGTGGTGAATCCTGCTTGAGCCTCAGCACGAGTTGGAATTGAGGCCGCCCATCACCATCTAGGCTTGGCTGTGCAGTACCGGGGCCTTGTCTCTTGCTCACACAGGTAGTAGCTGAGTCTGGAGAAATGCAAATGTGGACTTCAGGTTCTGAATTCCCTTTGTGACTGTAGTCCTAAAGAAAATGTGCTGTCAGGCTTGCTTTTAAATGCAAATCTCTCCCTGTTTTGTTGGCTTTTCTTCCTGTGACACTCCTAGAAAGCCCTGCGTGAATACTCAGACTGCCTGCTACTCTTACCTGCCAGCAACATTGCAATGAGGCGTGATGTCCAGGAGGGCCAGGCTCGGTGTTTATCTCGCCTGGGAAGGCACAAGGAGGCTCTGGATATTGCAGAAAAAATGGTAAATAGTGTAGTCTTTAATTTAGGCTTTGAACATGAAAACATTGCCAGTAGTTCTTCTATACGGACCATTTTCTGGAAAAATAATTTTCATGTGTATAATCCTTCAGGATGTTCAGTGCTCAGAGTATTTGGTAAACAGAGGGTAACTGTCACTGCAGATATAATCACTCTTTAGAAACTGGAACACCCTGTACCACAATGAGCTCCCTGTGCAGGGAAACTGTTAGTCCTGGAAGGGACTAAATATCATGCTCTGCCAGGCAGAATTAATGCAATGTAATAGGAATTATAAGAAAGGGAATAAATGAGTGCTTAAATCTTTCCACTATACAAGTGACAGTTCAAAACTCCCTTTTATTTCCATATACTTGCTGCCAAACTGCCACCAAGAAGAGTATCTAGCCACAAATAGAGTTTTTGCCATAAAAGAAAAAGTCCAGAGGCTCTGAAGTCTGCTAGAATATTATTGGTTATTTTTATTTTATATAAAAGGTGTTTATGCTGCAAAGAAAGGCCGCTGTAGAACACTCTGAAGGCACATAAACAAATGACAGCATTTAGGACCTTCTTGCCTCAGACTGGGACAAGGCATGTAGAGGGAATGCTGTCAGCTTGATTGTGCAAGATCTGTATCCCATTGTATCATTTTAAATTAACAGCACCATTTTGTGCAGTTAAAAAATTACCTTGTGACATTTGTATATCATTATTTAGGGAGACATTTTCTTAGGCTCTGAAGGATAATTCTGTTCTACTCCTGGTTTTAATCTATTATCTTTTGTTTCTAGAGAAACAGCGCTACTAACACAGATCACTTAACGACGGTTCTCAACCTGCAGTTTGCCATTTACCAGGGTCTGGAAAATGTAGAAAAAAAGATGTTGAGTCTGCAGCAACTGATCTGTTTACATCCTTTCAATCCCTGGTTCTGGAAGTTACTTGCTGAAGCCTATATGAGCCTTCTACAGAATTTGTCTCCATTGGTCATTCCAGAAGCAAATCTAAATCAGTCTGAAGAGGTTTGTGTAAGTAATAGCAGTTTCAAAACATCAGCTGGCAGAGAGATTAATTTGCTGCCTCACAGATCAGAGGGCCAGAAAGAAGGCCCTTGGTTCAGCCTCGCTGCAGAAACAAAGGGGGAGAATGCAGTGACTTGTCCCAGCAGCCAAGCAGTGAAAGAATTCCTCTGCACTTCAGGAGAACTGGAACAAATGGACAAAGAGAAATGTGCAGACTCCAAGGCCTGGAAGCAGAGCATGTTAAAGAAAGTTGGGATGAAAGCATGTGCCTCGTTTATTAGAGCAAGGTAACTCGATGTATTCTTAGAGTAATGTTAAGTTCTCTTGGTCAAGAGCATATTTTTCCCAGTTTTTGTTTTTAGTTTGCATTTTCAATTTAAGTGTTTGTTTCAGAGCTGGCAACACTAACTTAGAAGCACCCTACTGTTGCTTCAGATCTAAAAAGCAAAATCTACTTAGTGTGGTAGCTGTGAAGAGTCTGCGTGGAAAGAGTAAACCAGTGTCACGCACAGCTGAGAAGTAAAGAGTTTTTTAATGAGCTTATAAATATTTTCAAGTAATTATATACAAAAGGGTCTGTTCTTCAACAAATGCTCCTGCTAGACTATTGCTGTTCCCTGTTCTGGTATTAAAGATGCAGTAGCAGAAGTGCCCAAAGGGAAGGCATAGCCAGTCTTCCTTCTGCGAGTGCCACCTGTCTTATTTGCTTGAAGCCTCATGCTTGAGTGAAAATGTATTTTATAATGATACCCCAATCTGCATAATGGATGAGGCTGGAAAATGAACTCCGTGACAACTGATTGACAGGGCTGCATTAAAATGTTCTTTCCTTTTCTTTTCCCTCTTCCTAAAACTCTTGCACACAGCAAAAATCCCCAAAACATAATCTTTCAGAGAAATAATTAGGAACTGGTTTTATTAAAATAATCTTGGATGTTTTTTCCCCCTCTTGCCTCTCAGTAATGTATCAGTCATTGAATGTTTTTAAAGGCATCTTATGAATGTCCAGGAATGTTTACAGAGAACACTTTATAACTGCCTGCTGGGGCAAGATTTAAGAAATGAAAAAAGCCCAAAGAGCAGCTTTTAACTGTACTCCAGACTAAGAGATGAAGACTTTAATTGCTACTCGGAAGAAGTTAATTGATTTAGTACTGATATTGAATATTGAAGGTACATTTATATGAATAATTTGTGTTGCTTGTTTCAGTGTGTATGATTCAGAGCTGAGACAGTTATAAATGGTGGCATTTCCTTGTTTGGCTGCACAGTTTCACAGAGTGTTACTGTGGTTTATATTTGCAGATACACTTGTCCAGGATAAGCTTCTCCCCTGCCCAAGGCTTATGCAGGTTGTCTAATATTTTCAGATCTGTTGGATTTTAAGTGGGATCTAGATGTTGTATAAATGTATGTGCAGGATAAATTGCACCTGGAAAAGGGATGTTAGCACTGCTTTTTGTAGGAAATAAGGTTCTCTGTTGATGCATCATGAATAATTGACTCTCTTAGTTTTGAAAAAGAAATTGTAGTATCTTTTGTTTAATTTTCATTGGAACTTCATTATTTTTTATACTACATTGATGCCTGGAACATAAAACTGGTGAATGCTTTTAGAAAATAATCCAGGATTGGCCTGGGTGGGAAGGATGTTTTGATATTTGCCCAAACCCTCACATTTGTAGCTTTCCAGGTTCCATAGGCAAAAATGTGCTGCTGTCTTGTTAGGCCATAGTAAGGACATGATGACTCACAGGTCCCAGCCTCACTTTTGAATGGTGTGATGAATAACTTCTTTGCAGTAGGCAAAAGTCAGGAAGAAGAGCTGTTTTAAAGTGTTAATTAAAGTATTAACCATTATGGTTGTTTTTAGGTCTGCTGACTTACTCTTTTTCCAGCTGTGTCAATTTTTAACTGTCTTTCTCATTCCAGGCTTCTACTTCAGCTTACCCAGTCACAACAGCTGTCCTTTGTGCTAGAGAATAACAGAAAATGCCAAAAAGAAATCGATGACAAAGTGGCTCTACTTGGTTTCGATGAAAACTCCTTGCTGTTGATGACCAAAGTAAGAGGATGTTTCATTGTGTGCAGGGTCTCAGTTCTCTGTGTGGACTGGTTGTGCTCAAAGCATGACACTGCCCTGAGCTCATTAAGTGTGCCAGGAAGCACAGGGAATTAGCTGGGGCTGGCTGCTGGCAGGGTGTTATCTGGAACTGACAGGGGTGCCTGTTCAGCCCTGGCCTGTGTCACCACAGGTGGATCTCTGATCTGCTGAGATTTTCCTTTCAGGAATGTGCAGTGTTGTTAAGTTTCTCACCAGACTTGTATTTGCAGATGCATCAGCACTGTGCATTTCCTGGGATTTACATTTTATCTCAGGAGTTTTAGATGCCCCAAAGTGAATCACTAATTTGAAATGGAAGTGCAGATTACTTTGTAGGCCACAGTGGTATTAAACACTTGCATAAAAAAGTACTAAGTATTTCCAGAAAAAGCCAGAGACTTCCTTTTGCATTTCTTTGTTTTGTTTAATGTACTGTTTTTAAAAAAAAGTAACAGAGGAGAGCAATATTGCATTTAATCTCTTCACAGATATTTAATGTGCTATTTAAAGAGCCTCTGACTTTAATCTTAAGGATCAAAATAAAGCCAGCTAGATTGTAACTTTGCTGTCAGCATTTCAGCTTTAAGTTAGTGACAGCCAAGCCACTGCCGGGCTGCAGCCAGTCGGAGGGATGCCATCCATGAGAGGGCAGTAGCACACAGGCTACCTCCGTGTTGGGAAAGGCTGGAAAAAAACTTCTCTCCTTGCTTCCCTTGCTCAGACATGCCCCAGGAGCAGTTCAGTGTTGATTGATGATGCAAGGTGAGCACTAAATGCAGAGCTGGAGTTGATATTTCCGCTGCTGTTCAGAGTGAAACCCTCCTGTGCAAGTGCAGCCTGAAGCTGGAGGGGTTGTGCAGTGCTGAGCTTTGGTCTCAGCTCTCCCTGAATGCAGAATGCCAAGGCAGGCAACTTCATCATGGCATGGAAAGTTCTCCAGGATGGTGTGTGGTTCATGTGACAAGAGCTTTGCCTGTAAAGATTTGTTATTAATGCCATGTTTGATGGGCTTTTTCTGCAAGTTAATTTCTTGATTCCCTTCTTTCTTACTCTTGTTTTGCAGGCTATGGGGCAGGATCTTATACCAGAAAAACTAAAAGAGGAGTTTCAGGGTGAGGTAAAATGCATAGGCCCTTCAGCACTGTCATCACTGGTAACTGCTTCAGTCATAGAATTTGAAATCAAATGGTTTGGTAATCTCCAAGATGATTTATGTCACTTTGATGGACAATTTTATTCAGACATTTATCTTCCACCTTCAGTAACATAGACATTTTGTTATATTTATTCATCTCCAAATGATTATGGCATGATACATACAATAAAGTTCATATTACATTTTTTAAGAATTCTTACTGTATTTATTTTGAGTAGATATAAATCTCTATATATAAACTCTTAATCTTGCATCCTTTTCTGTGTTTACTGATTTGTTTGTATTTAAAATTATAAGGAACACAGTGTAAAATCAAGCTTTCGGCTTTCAGAGGTAGCTTTCCATCATAATCCTCACCAAACTGTGCTTGAAGTGCATGTATTTTTTTGAGGCCTGCAATGCTGGTGGGATGGAAGCTGCTTTTCTGATGTCCAGTTTGGAAGTTTATTGGTATCAAATTTGATGTTGTTGCATTTAGAGCCATAGAATTAGTAATTTTCTTAAGTAATTATTTTAATATTTTTTGATTAACATAATGGTTATTTCATGTTCACAGATGGATAGCTAGAAATGTCAAATATATTTATGCTGAGAAATTGTCAATAACAATAATTCCATATCTTTTAGGAAGGGAATCTAAGTATTAAATATTTAACTTAAAACTAGGAGATTTTCTCTTTTTGAAGCCAAGGGTTTGTTGCAGGCATCCAGCAAGCTGTAGTCTTGTGTTCAGTGTGCTTAGACGAGAAGGAGAAAATCTGACAAGGTTGTTTATATGTACTGAAGAGTGTTTCATCAGATCATATCCTTTGTCAAAGCCTGCAAGGAAGATCTTCACTGTGAAAACTGGCCGTGTTGTTTCTGCCTCATCCAGCTCCGTCTGTTGTGCTTTCAGTTGTCAGTGACAACACTTTGCTTTGCTTTCTCAAGCACTGGTGCTGTGTGCTTTGGGCATCTAGAAGAGGGCAAAGATCCTCCTGTAGTTTCTTTCACTTGAAATAGTTTACATTTCAGACATACATGGTGTGCTCTTCCCCCATCTTCTCTTAAACTGTGAGACTTAATTTTTCTGTATCTTTCTTTAAAAGTGCTCTATTATGGATGTAGTTTAAAACTAGGGGTCTCTTAGACATACTTTGCTGTCCCTTTTCTTCATGTGTTCCTGTGTTTTCTTTCTGGAGTACTAAAGAGTGCCAAAACCTTAAGTAATTCACAATTGAATGATGATTCACCATGTGTGAATTGTATCTGCTACTTTGAGATGAATTTTAAAGCTTTAAGATTCTGATTAGGGAGGCTAGTGTGAATCATATAATGGTTTGGATTGGAAGGGACATTAAAGACCACCTAGTTCCAACCCCACTGCCACAGGCAGGAACACCTTCCACTAGACCTCTCTGGTCATCCTGTTCTAGTGTCTCACCATTCTCACAGCAAAGAGTTTCTTTCTAAGATCTAAACCAAATCTGCCCTCTAAGTTTAAATCTATTCCCCTTAGCCCTGTGACTACAGGCCCTTGTAACAAGTCCCTCTCCAGCTCTCTTGTATCCTCCTTTATGTACTGGAAAGCCCCAATGAGATCTCCCCAGAGCCCTCTCCAGGCTGCAGAGCACCACTTGTCTCTGCCTTTCCTCATAGGAGAGGTGCTCCATCCCTCTGAACATCTTTGTGGCCTCCTCTGGACTCAGTTCAGCAGGGCCATGTCCTTCTGTGCTGGGGACCCCAGAGCTGGGTGCAGCTGCAGGTGGGGTCTCACCAGAGCACAGCAGAGCAGAGAGGCCGAATCCCCTCCCTCACCCTGCTGCCCACGGGGCTTTAGATGCAGCCCAGGACAGCTTTGGCTTTCTTGGACTGCAGGTGCCCATGGCTGGAACATGCCCAGCCTCTCATCCAGCAGCACCCCCAGGTCTCAGCACAGCTGCTCTTGGTCTGTTCCTCCCCCAGCCTGGCTTGGTACTGGGTGTTGTCCCAACCCAGGTGCAGCATCTTGCACTTGGTCTTGTTAAACCTCATGAGATCCTTGAGCTTGTCCAGCGCCCTCGGGATGGCATCCCATCCTCCAGGTGTGTCAGCTGCACCACTCAGCTTGGTGTCATCTGCAAACTTGCTGAGGGTGCACTGGATCCCTTCATCTGCGTGACTGATGAAAAGATTGAACCCTTGGTGTGGTTTAGCCCTCTGCTAAGTTGACTGAAACTTCTCCAGAAAAACGGAATATTGCCTTCAGCTGTGTCAAATTACTTTTGATAGTTGGGTGAGTTAGTGCGATTGAACCACATCCTGGGCAGCTGGTTACGAAAGGCCGTGACTTGGCAGGTGTCCTTGGGTGAGCAGTGGTGCACTCATCATGTGCCACAGGAGATTTGCTTTAGTCATGCGTGCGCTTTGCTAGGCGGAAACTTTTGTGTGCGTGTGTGCAGCGCTGTAGTCAGGCGGCCATGAAACCCGCTCGAAGGGCTGGGGATGCTTTTGAGACTAAGAGGTGTCGTAATTCTTCAGAAGAGACTGTCCACAATGTGTTGTAAATTAATTACAATGCTGGCATCAACAGGAGAATCTTACACCAAAGACAGCAAATGTGAAAAGCTTAATGCTAAATATGTCAGCAAAAAAATGAAACATGGACATCTCCCATTTTCTTCTTAAACTGAAGGTCATGAGTAGCCACATAAAAAGGCTGTAATTTGTTTTGTTTCAGCTGTTAGGACATCAGAACACAGCTTTATGGGACAAGGTCTATATAGACACTTCATGGAAACTCACCAAATTATTTGGCTTCACAAATAGCATTGGAACTGTTTTAGCAGCAAATTAAATACTTGCCAAACGTTGTCATTTTGTGACTGAAATGTCTGAAACACACAGCAGCTAGCCAAGGTGATTTAGAAACTTTTTGTTGTCTGTCCAGATTGTTTGACTTGACATTGTCTCTTAAGCTGGGAAGACAAAGGTTAACTCCCCACTGCTTCCAGGAGTTAGACAAAAGTGTTAGCTCTTAAGAGCAGGCAGTATTTTCTAAAACAATAATAAAGCAAAAATGTTGATTTTAACTACTGCAAAGAAAAGAAGATGAATGTTGTTCTGAATGTGTCACATAGTTACTGTTCCAAATAACCAGTGTTTATTGCACTGGGGCTATAAAATGTTCCTTTGTCCCATTTTTGCCTGGCTATCTCTCATCTCAGCTACTTCACTTCTGCCTTTTTTGGCCTGCCTCTCCTTTTTTTGTGCCTCTTCTAACTCCAGTTTTCTGTTTCTGATCATGTCTCTAGAGGGGCTTTGCATTTCCATTTTGCATTGAATGCTTCATTGTTGCCTCTACCTTCTGCATAATTTTACATCTGTCTGTAATAGATTTCTTCATGATTTGGCTTTTATGTTATTGTTGGTATTAGTACATGGATCACTACTCCATTCTGAGTTAAACAGCGAATTTTAGTATTGCAAATTGCAAGGGAAAATCTACTAACAGTTACTGAGGTTTGATTTTGTTATTTTAATACTTGCTTGTGGTACTGGAGCTTTGGGAAGGACCCTCTGCTGCTGGTTCTGATGCTCCTGAAATGATTGCTGTTGAGTGTTTGAGTGCTGCTGGCTTTGAGGTGAGGGACTGCATTAGTGCTGTAATTACTAAGGTTAACACAGTTTTCATCACAGAATCATCGAATTATTTGGGTTGGAAGGGAACTTCAAAGGTCATCCAGTTCCAACCTTCCTGCCTGGGGGTTTGGCAGGGAACTTTCCACTCGACCAGGTTGCTCAAAGCCGCATCCAACCTGACCTTGAACACTGCCAGTGATGGGGCATCCATAACTTCTCTGGGCAACCTGTTCCAGTGCCTCACCACCCTAATAATAAAAATAATCTTCCTTATATCCTCTTTCAAATTAAAACCTGTCATCCTGTCACTGGGTTGACCCTGGCATGCTGCCAGGTACCCACCCCAATGCTCTATCACCCCCTGCCCCCCCAGAACTACAGGGAAGGAGAAAATAAGATGGATAGAAAAAAGACTTGTGGTTCACAATAAAGGCAGTTTAATAGAGGAAAAGCAAAGGCTGCACAAGGAAACAAAGGAAAACAAAAATTTATTTATTCTCTCTTTTAATCAGCAGGCAGTCATTGTAAAAATGAGGAATCAAGGGTTGTAACACAGAAGGAGTCCTGCTTGTGTACCCAGCTTAGAGGCACCTTTACTGCTGGCAGTAGCAGAGTGGTTTTAGATAGTGCCAACTTCTCCTGCCTTCTTTTTGGTACACATACATAAGCTAGATGCAAGCAAACCCATTCTGACAGTAATCTGGGAACCCAGGTGGGACCCTGTGGGCTCCCCACCTGGTGAGTGTGGTGATGGCATATGACCCTGCCAGTACTGGGTGAGTTCCCCCAGTTGTCCTTGCAGGATCCACACTGCCTGGGAAGGTACTAAAACTGGGAACAGCATCAGTCATCGGGGGTTCAGTAAGGTAAAATGGGGTTCATTGTGACAGAAATTCTGGAAAACTGGAAGAAAATGGACAGTACTTCAGGACTGGCATCAAGCTGGATGTAATTCTGTGTCAGGATGAGTGGCTGGAATGCTGGAGGGCAGACCCTCTGAGCACTGGCCCTGGGGAGGTTCTTCTGATATGAGTCAGTTGACCTTCCTCCCTCCTATGTGATACGACATACAGCAACCTGCTCACTATTCCCCATCACCTTCTTGTCCATTACAGGACAAACTGGAAATAATTTCCAAGATCCGTTGCTCTACCATCTCCCCAGGAATGGAAGTGCAGTTGGCAAGCCTAGTGAGGGTCCTGGAACAGGAGAAGGAGTATGGTGTGCAGTGGTTGAGGGAGGAGTAACACCTGGATGGTTTTTGTTTTCTAGGCAGAATAACCAGGGAACTGTCTGTGTCACAAATTAAATAATAAAAAATAAAACAGCCTGTGGAAGAACTGGCAAACTGGTAACATTGGACATGGAGAAGGCTGAGGTATTCAATGAATTTTCTGCCTCAGTTTTCACTGGCAACCTCTCCTCTTATGCCTCTTGAGTCGATGGCTCTCAAGGCAGGGATTGGGAAACAAAATCCCTCCTGCTGTGAGAGAAGATCAGGGTCAAGAGCACCTGAGGAACCTGAACAAACCTGAGTCTGTGGGGCCTGGTGAGAGGTATCCTAGAGTCCTGAGGGAATTGGCTGGTGTA